GAAAAGGAAAGACCAAAAAGCTACATCTGTTACTATGGTATGCAAGTTTTGACTCTATTTAGATATTTATATTATTTAAATATTATGAACTGCTTTATTATAAACAAGCTCACATAGCAACTTATCTTATTTACCAGTCTCAACTATCTTTCTTAAAAATGCACAGCAATAGAAAATGATAAAAAGAAATACCGAGTCAGCTAGTTACTATAAAAGAAAACCCAAACCAGAAACTACCAATACAATGAACATTTGTTTCAGAATAACTCAAATTTGGGGGGAAGGGGGAGGGTGGAGACCGACTACTCAAGTATAAGACTAAAAAAGTATTCTAGATATGGAAAGCATGAAAAATTTTCCAGGAAAAATGAAAAAAGTCTGAGCATTTACTGAGACTAAATATGTTTTCAATCCCAAATTCTTTAACTTTTATCAATTTTTGGCAGAACATAGATGTTTGGCTGTGTTAAATCAGTGTTGCAGAAAAGTTCCTGTGGTACAGATTCGCTAATGACTCCCCAGTCAGCCAAATTTGATTATTTCTGTCCATTGAACCACCAGGTTTTCTGGAAAAGTTCCTTCCCTCGAGAGTAGAACCTTGGGAGTTGCAGTTACTGAGACTGACCACATGCTCAAGTTCCATCAGTTTCTTACCATTTAAACAAAAAGTGTCAGTCTATCTTCATAAACCAGACTGAGAATGTTTTTGCACCTGAACACATTTTCAGAATGAAAACTAACACCCTGCTATGTTTAAATACGACACATACAACTTTCCCCACATATTCTTCTTGGTCTTCCTTTTTGTGCTATCATTGCTCAAATATTTTACTAGTGTCTTCTCCATTTTCCCCCTTAAAAGTATTCTCTGTCTCTAAAATGCTTAGTGTCTTTTACCACATCCTTTCCTTCCCCGCCTCCAAGAGGGGGCTGGAAATGCTGACAGAGCCATAATTACATAATGATGACTACAACTGATGGAACAAACATCTCATACAAACACACACAGGAGACATAAGGCTGACTGATATATTAACAGAAGTGGCCAGTTGAGGAAAAGATATCTCACACTGTCCTTTCTAACTATACAGCAAAGTTTGTTAATGAGAAGTTCAATAACATAAGCCAAAAATACTGTTCCATAGCTGTAAATTCCTGTTAAAATGATTCACTTCACTCAAGTTACTACAGCTTTAAAACTGTAAGAGTGACTTCTAGCAATATTACAGACTATATAAATACTTATGATCACAAAGAAGCACTTCAACTTAATCTGCGTGAAGTTTTATTGTTTCAGAAGGACAGTGTGTCTGAAAAAAGTCAGATTTTTAAACAGCATTTGAAGACTTAAAGCAAAATAATTACCTTTCTCATCTTCACGAACAATATTTTCACATAGGTATAGATCTAATTGTTTTTCTACCATCCACTATGATTCTATCAACACCAGCAAGATGCTATTTGAAATGAACTCTATTCACTGCGCTGGTGTAACAAACTAGTTTGGGACAAATGACTAAGCAGCACAACTCTAATTTAAAGACCACCATCATGTTAGTATGTTGTGAATAGTATGAATCCACAGCAGTCAAACTTGCACTCCAACTTATTCACTGGTAGAAAGCAAGGATTCCAGTTTTCAAATCCTTCCAACAGAAGCCCTCTGCAAGAAGACAACGACACATCAAGCAAGCTGTAAACTACCTCTGCCCTGTTCTTCTCCCTGTGGCTGCTAGTGCCTTAGGATGGATCCCAGCTCCACTAACCAGTAATAGTCCCAAGGGAACTGCCAGTCCATAAGCACTGATCAGTCCAACTGTGGCATCAACAGAGCATGTCACAGTCAGACCTTACCCAATCTGCCTTATGCTAGGAGGTTTTGTATGAAATAATGTTCATGAAGAAATATCAATCATAGAATCATTTAGGTTGGAAAAGACCTTTAAGATCGAGTCCACCACTAAACCATGACCCTGAGCACCACCTCTATACGTCTTTTAAATACCTCTAGGGATGGTGACTCTACCACTTCCCTGGGCAGTCTGTTCCAATGCTTGACAACTGTTTTGGTGAAGAAATTTTCCCTTATATCCAATCTAAATCTCCCCTGGCACAACTCAAGGCCATTTCCTCTTGTCCTATCACTTGTTACTTGGAAAAAGAGACCAACACCCACCTTGCTACAACCTCCTTTCAGGTAGTTGTAGAGTGGTAAGGTCTCCCCTCAGCCTCCTTTTCTCCAGGCTAAACAACCTCCAACAATAGTACAGCTACAGCAGCCTCTGGGCTTTTTTATACATAAAAGGCAGGTTAGCATCCACCACAAAGAAATGCAGGTAAATCAATGTTGATAGTTTTTGGAAAATCCAATGGCAAGTTGCCCAGTTTACAGCAGGACATTAAGAACAGCTCACAGCCAGCTCTGTGTAAGTGAACATACAATCTCAGAACCCAATCTACAAGGTGTACTACAGTGCCAAATAGCACTTCACAGAAGTCATTTTGGACTCCTAGAACTTAATAGTTTGGTCTCATTTCTACCTTTGGCTAGGGAGGGCTACCTGCACTCTTTCTGATTCTCTTCAGTGCTGCTGGTTTTAAGGGTACCTATTCATTCTGGCAGAGTACTGCATGCATCCAAGCTACTTCCAGACTTCCGCATGTTCATATAGCAATGCTTCAGACCTAACAAATCCTAACGCCACCAGTTGTATGCACATTACGATGGCTAAACATTCAAGTTGAGCCTAAAAACGAGACTGGGTGTGAGAAATGTAATATTATGTAAGAGAGTCTAGCTCTACATTATTTTAAATAACGGAGAATTGACTACTTATGTCAAGAAACAAAACCAGATTAGAGTAATATTAGGTTTGTCTCACACTGCCATCTGCTGAAAAAAGCAAGCTACTTCTCTATGAAACTGTTTTCCTATCCGTGATTCTTCTCACTGCATCTCATAACAAGATTATATGTGATTATATTTCCTCAGCTGCAAAGAAATATACAAAACCTTCTCCTCTTCCATTCTTACAACCATATAATGCTGGAAGTGTACAGCATGTACAAATATCAAGCCACTAAAATAAACTCACGGGCCTATTGCAGAATCCAGGTGCCTAGAAATCACCTAAGTAAAAAGTTGAAGAGTGTTGTGAGGGTCTATATAATTAAAGCTGATGAGTTGTATCAGCCTGTTTACTAATCCAAATGAAGCATAAGATAAGATAGTATAATTAAACAAAGTGTAACTTAACAGTAAAATCACAATCAATCAATGAGGGTCATTAAATATTCCTCTGCACATTCTTCAAAATTTAGTCATTTTGCAAAGGACAAGCTGAACAAGCCATTGGAGACAAAGTTTTACTTCTTACTTACACCCTTCTCTGTTGCATGAATATCTGTATTTCCATGAAGTGTTCCAAGACCAATTACTTTGCCACCATTTGTTCGTATATCAATTTTATGGCTCTGAAAAAAGTTTAAAAATCATATGGTTAGCATAATCATAATTAGAAAACAAGTTATCTTGTTTTTCAAGCTGTACCCCAATAACCACCCTGGATCACAAGCTTCCACGTTACTGTGAAGATTTCTTCCCAAGTGATTGCCAAATGTGCTGTTTATTTCCAGGGGAGTCAAACTCAAAACATGTCACCTTTCTTTGTAACCAGAAACACAAAGGAAAGAATGATGCTGAGGAACCCTTTATTCTCAATACAGGTGGGGTTTCTGGGTTTGTCTTTTTTTAACTAGAAAAAACATTCACTCAATATATATTAAAATAAGCAGCAGGGGAAGAAAGAGGGAACTCTGAATTTCATTTATACTCCATCCAGAACCAAGGTATCCATGTACCCAGTGCTGCAGCAAATTGGAAACAGGAGCTGGCAGTGAGAAACGAACTTGCAAACTGGAGTCTTCCAGTGACCTGAAACCTACAGTGCTACAGAACACCGTAGGATACTAATATACATACATATATATACACAGAAACATATCACAGAGCTACTTATGCTTGGAGTAGTACGTCTAGCCACAAGCTTCTATGGATGCACCCCAGTGCAAACCTTAGGCCTCCAAGTAGAATCAGATCCTACAGTGTTTCGCTCCAACTACATTTGCATTCAAATTAAGCATGTTGCATACAGCTACATTACAGTCAAGTTTTTCACAAAGAAATCAGGTTTCAAGTAAGAAATGCTGTAGCACTTACACCTTTCAGCTGTTGCATACAACTGACAAAAAACCCCCAAAACCAGAAACACGCACAAAAAGGGTATGTAGCTAAATTATATTCAAAAGATCTACCGCAAGTTACAAAACTAATCTCAGAAAGACAAAAACACATAATAAAACCAACCAAACAAGAAACACCAAAAAATCCAAACAGGTCTTGAGACTAAAAACCAACCATTTGTAAAAAGAGAGAAGGGAAAAAGAAAAAAACTATTTAAAAATCAGATTTAAATAATCTAACTGTATTCATAAGCTGTTTTTTCAACAAATCTGACTTTAAGAAGCCTATGGATCTCAACAGCAAAGCCCTTTTGCTTAAGCTCACTAGTGTGAATGCTGGAATAACATAGAATTAAAAAAGATACTCAGCATTTTTTATACTTAATGGATAAGGTTGCCTTTTTTCCCCCTACGCATATCCTCTGTTTTCTCATACCACTAGCCCCATTTTCTGATATATTAATTTCTGTTGAAAATGGTATTATTCCTGTAGATGGTATTTAATTTAGACCACCACCCATTATATTTGACAGTCAAGTGTATCAGAAATATTCAAGATATTCAGATTATTAAGCACCTGCCTGGATAAGCCATAATAAATTGCATTAACTAGGTCTAATCAGATGGCAACAAGATTAAGGACTTTAAAAAAATAAATCAAGTTTCCAACATGGAAAACATGGACTTATACTGCTCCAACATATTTCTGATGAAACACCAAGAACCAGACATTTCATGGGGTTTCATAATACAGGAAGAACTCTAGAGCAGTGTTTCTTAAATGAAGACTTGCATACACAAAGATTAAGAGGCTTCCCCACAGCAAAATGAAACACTTCTAACTTGAGACTACAATAGCGCTTCAGATCTCCTAAAGGCTGTAAAAAAACTTGGCTGCTCAGTTAAGCTTCTATACAAATATAACAGATGATTGTGTCCATATACGGTAAACAGGATAAAATTAGATGCTTCAGCTTAATTATTGGATAATTCAGCCAGACATCCCAGTTCCTCTGACGCAGTTACATCAGGCACATTATCAGAATAATGGTTAAAGAACACATCCTCCAAGCATGTAACCTGAGGAAAATACAAGAACTCAAAAGATCAGAAGAATTAACGTATAGCAATGACTTACTTAACTGTCGGTGGTCATACTGGTAAAATAAAACCATGACCTACACGCTTATTTCCTTTTTTTTTTTTCCACTCTATTTTTGGGATAGAAAAAGCTTTGATAAGACACAAGTCCTTCAACCTTTTTCCCCAGAATTATTAGACTATCCCTATCCTCTTAAAGAAAAAAAAAAAAACTCACATAAAAAACACAAATAGGCTTTCAGAGGTAGTTATCAGCGGATACACCTAACAGACAGCAGGATTTGCTGAAAGAGGAAGCAAGTTATAATGGTCAAGTAGCTTTTTTGTTAAGAGGGAATATTCAGCTAGCTGAAAGTAAGAAGCACTAATTTGTCATAGGGCTTCTCCTATTAAAGGAGAAAGGTTTGAGTAAGGAAGAGGTAAAAGGCTATCAAGGCCATGACAGATGTTAAAAGAAAAACAGAAAAATTTTTCAGTTCAAAGAAAGGAAGGACAGTGGTACGGGACTTTCACAAATCGGGCTCAGACATATGTGTAGCAAGGAAGCATGGCAGGTCTTCCACTGATCATGCGCAAGACACCTGGAAATTCTTGTTACCACTGGCACAGTCAAGGAGTCAGAAGTAATTATTGAACACAGAAACAAAATTAAAGGGTGTCCTTGGTCCCACTGCCACTGCTAAGCTGAAGCACTGTAATAAGCAGGAGTAAAAAAGAAGTACTAATGCTTTCTCAATAAAGAATTTGGGAATAATTTATACTCTGAAGAAGACCTAGAAGTCGTAACTATTTTAGAATCACTGCTACTATCAGTTGACCTAGAGACTTGGAAGGGATAGGCTGAACTGGGCTTTATCCAATTACAAAACAACGACCAACAAAAAAACCAAAACTCAATAAAACAACCCTCAACAAATCTCACTGGCTGGGTAATGCCTGCCACACCAAAAGGACCAGTCAAAATCCATTAGAAGAACTCATACAGAATACTCATCTTTTCTGTTCAATTACTAGCATGCATGATTAAGGAAAGCAGATGTCAAATTTCTAGGTCTTCTGTAAAGACACAACACAGTATACCAAAAATCAGCAAGTTTTTTTGAATTACAAGTTATACAACTTCTTGCAGTCTGTGTCAAGTTAAGAGAATTAGCAGTTGTGGAGCTGTTTGCTGGTGCTCTTGAATAACCCCTGCATGGCCAAAGTTTTTTTTATTTATTTAAAGTCATTGGTCAACAATCTTTTGCTCTCTGCTGTAAAGAAAGGGTCTCCTGCTTTGCTAGTCAATGAGGTTTGCTTCAGTGTCATCCTGTCCGCAACATTACCCAGCTCTTTAATCCATCCAGGGGACGGCAGTATCACTTCAGTTTGCTCAGTAAAGCACATTCCCTAAAGGAGAATCAGCTCTTGTGCTGCACTACAGAATCTAGTCCATCACATTTTCAGTAGCTTTGAAAAACCCAAAAGGTTAACAATGCTGCTTCTCACTAATAATTCTGCTTCTCTGCTAATACAGAGTATAATTCCTGAACCTCTATTAGAAAAATTGAGTTACAGTTGCCTTACTAGAACTACAGTACTTCTTGTAAACAAGATTAGACTAAAAACTGGCTGTACAGCTAAGAGATATTGTAATTGGACAATTGTTTGCTCCTGTAAACACCTACATGGTCCATAGTTTTAATTCAAAAACCTTCATCTCACTACTGCAGAGTTAATAAAACCAAGAGTGGTAACATACCTTCTCTAGTACTGTACCCTGAAGCTGTCACAGTAACCAGCACAAAGACAACCAATCACCACTGACAACCCAAAAGAATACTTCAGGTAACTATTTTGGTTTAAAAAAAGCCAGAGCCTTATAATCTACCAAAGCTTTGTTTTAACAACAGTTTCAGTTGAAATCTGCAGTTCTTTATTGATTCTTTCAATTTTAAATGCCTTCTGGGACAAGGTCAATCCTCTCATCTGAGGCTATGGGAGCAAAGCAGCTTCCTGTGGCCACCAACATAGCGGACACATTGAGGCACACACACAGGGGAAGGATCATCTTTTACACTTGTAGTTTTCCTGACATTTTTGTGAATCAAGCAAGGCTCAAAGTTGACAGGAAAAAAGCAACACCAAGCTCCTCTAAACTATAATAAGATTATGGAGGAGCTGGTCTCAGAAGCCCCAAACTGATGACTTAGCAGCCGCCTTTTCAGTTCATTAGGGAGTATTGTTTCATTGCTACTTGAAGTCTCAAGGAAAATAGAACTGACTTTTAATTTTTAAAATTAAATACTTTTCACATCTCAGATTGTATATGAGAAAAGATGCTTACAAAATTAGTTAGTTGTTTTTCTTCAAAATCTTCTTTTTCCATGACATCATAAAAAATTCTTGACAATTGTGATGGCATGCTGTGACTACTGTCACTATTGCTGCCCAAAACTACCTTGTTTTTTCATATTATGTAGTTTCTTCCGTACTGCTGTTTGCTATTATACAACAGAGTAATTTTTAACCAAAGCTTTAGACAGCAGTAACACACAGAGTACTGTTAACTTTGTTACATTTTAGTTACCTTTTTAAGAGTAACATGGTCAATTACACAGAATCTGTAAGATACACGTTGTTTGTAGTTCACTGAATATGGAGTAAACCTAGCTCTACTGTAGATTAAATTTCCCCGTAAATTCAGTTCTCTCATATGTGTGCTATAAAATCATCTCTTACCATGGTGAAGAAAATACATTGAAAGATTTTTCATATCTCAGAAATACTTTAACTTAGGAATTATCCTATTTGAAAAGCCTTTCTTTTAAATTTATACCAATTTCTGCAGGTACAATCTCAATTATTCAAGCGAAATTGATTCCAGACAGCACGTAAGTCAGATGTACCGTGATTATTTCTACAAAAGCCTATGTCAGCAAACTTGAAGTCCTAACATTGAAAAAACAAGGTCATGATCACGATATATACAGTATCTATCAGGTATATTTCAGTTGGGTATTTTGGACATGTAATGTGTAACTTCTGATTGAAAATTAACCTAAAGAGTTTGCCAATAGCACTGATATATCAGAATTAGAAAAAATAAACCACAGAAAAAAAAAAGCAGCAGCATACTGCAAAGTTGTGACTGAGTAAGCATAACTATTAACCTACTAGACAGGAAATCACAGTCTGTTTTTGAGAGGCAGGGAGGGTAGATATCAGGCTTACTTCTGTCACTGTTCCTGCTGGCTCTGGCTATCATCAAATGTACATGGACTTCTGAATCCACATTATTTAGTATTATTGGCTCTGTGTCATAATTGTGTGCAATAAATAAAGGTGAAGTGCTACACACATAGTAACACTTAGAAATATCAGAGTACTTCTCATCTCCAGACCTGGAATTTAAGTTTTTATACTATATTCCACCACACAATCCCTTTTAAAAGACTGATGGAGTGGGGGAAGGTTCTTTGTACCTTTATTGACTGCAAGACACTAGTCCCCTTCTCCGTTTCTATTTTGCAGTTATCGCATTCTATTTTCTGAATCTTCACGCAGCCAGTCCCTGATGTTTTGATATCCAAATCTAGAATTAAAAGAGTTTTATTAGTAACAGAGTAAGAAAAGTCAGATCTATTTAGTACTTGATCACTTTATATAGTAACTACACATACTAGGAAAAAAAAAAGGGGCTTCTTTGTTACTAAAGAACCTTCTTGCAAAGTTTGGCCACACACTTTCAACTGCATGACTACTCACTATCAACAGCGGACATTTAAAAATCTGTAAAACTGTGTATAACCATCCAGCTTCAAGAGAGAGCGTTGAGTAACCTCTGGCAAGGAATCAGGGTGTGGTCCTTTAGCAAAGTTTTATCTTTTTTTTTTTTTTTTTAAACCGCCTCCCAAACTCCACCTCCATTTCATAGCTACCCTAGTCACCAATTCTGTTGAGACATTTGGGTACCCTGACATGGGTTTTGGGGTGTGAAAGGTGGCAGGCTGTTTGATGCCACATTTAAAGTAACAAGATTCAACAGCACAAATACATAGGTCTTGCTCAGACCTATGCTCTTGAACTAGCAAGTAGCATAACAAAAAACAGGTATAGAAGAGTGTGCATGCGTCATTCTCCCCTAGCCTTCTGGGAAGCCTGGCTTAACCCCCTGGCATGAAGAAGCATGTTTGCCTCTAGTCTGAATCATCTCACCTTATTACTGTTCCTAGGCTCCCACAAAGAAAAGTCACTAGGTCTTGTAGATAACACTGTTATCAACTGAGTAATTTATGGGCTCATAATGCCTCACACAGAAGTAGCAAAACCATTTTTCTGCCACTTGAGTTCGTCCCTGAGTTTAAGGAACTGGGAATAAGTTTGAGAATGTGCAGTCTGGAGATTCTGACTGTATTAATAACTTATATTAATGACCACGATAACCACTGGCAAAAGGTAAAAGCAAGAGGAAAAAAGTGTCTGTTCCTCTAAGGATAAAAGGCAGAAAGAAGAAAAAGAAAATCTGAATAGGAGTCAGAAGCGTTTGCTGGAAGATATGTAATTGAGAGGTTGAGAGAGATAGTGACCCTACCATTCTCTAAAGAAAAGATGACCTGGGAAAGAAACCTCCATTTAAGCACATATGGAAGTGCTTCTTTCACCTCCACTATCTCTTAAGGTGACCAGAAACATGAGAAGAAGAATCAGAGTATGTACAACAAGCTCAGCCCCAATAAGAGTCTGCAAGTCAGACCCATGACACAGCAGATCAATACTATCACGCTGCTGCTCAGGACAGATGCTGGAACCATGACAACAGTAGCTTGCAGACCACGAAGAGGAGAGACCGAGACCCCCAATTCACAACAAAGGGAAGTTTTGCCGCCTGACAAACCAGGAGAATCCAAGAGGCAAAGATAAAACACATTACACCTTTGCTGCAAGATTGCTACCTTATTGCTACAGTAAGCTAAAAGGTTAAATTTAGTGAAGTATGCAAACTGTGTTTTTGCAGGCAACAATTGCCTAAGAAAGGGGGCTAGAAGAGGTGGACTGGATAAGCAAGTTTTCCAGAAAGCTCTTTTATTTGCAGATACTATTTTCTCAGTCTCTTCATGGAAGACTTCCAGGAAAGAAATACTGTGACCAAGACTTTAATAAAACCGCATATTTCTTAAACTTAAGTAAACTCTAGGAGAGGCTTTGAGGCATGTAAAAGCACAAAACCTTGCCAACTGGACTGGTGACTATCATCCGAGACCTGAGGGCAAGCATCACAAGGTTTTATGTTGGCAAAACCTAGACATTTTCACCAGACTAAAAAGATCTAAGTGGTATCTGAACTATTTCAATTGGATCAATGCTGACCTACAGGTTCTGAAGCCGTTGAGACAGGCAGACAAACTTTTCCATAAGGTTTTACTTCTCAGGGAGCAGTTGAGTTGTTTAAACACAGTTCCCAGAGAGACACAAATAGAGGCACTCTCCAAGCATCTAAGCCCAAAACAGCGTGTCTCTGAACTTTCCAGATTTGTGCTGTGCAGGAAGAAAATTATTTTTTAAATACAAGCTTTCTTGCTCAAAACTGCTCAATTCACCCATTGGAAAACTGCATGGTACTTCGGAGCATCTACGTCCAAGACACTTGCCTTTTTTGCTTTCAGAGAAGAGAGAGGTCAAAAAGCCAGTTTGCTTGTGCAAATCTTTTAATTCAGTCAGTATGATAGCCTCTTGCCCTTATTGCATCCATCAAAAGGAGGGAGGGAAAAGGCTTAAAAGCAGTCAGTTTAGCCATGATATCAACTTAATAAGACTTTTATAAAAATAAGGTTAATAAAAACTTCTGATCCTGCAGGACATATTATGGACATTATTTGAAAGGTAGAATAGTAGTATAATCCCAGATATACCTAAGATAGGTGCCAAAAGAGGACACAGAAGTCTGGGGATTCATGAGCATGCTGTTAAGAAACACCAGCGATTCCTGGAAACATGCTTTGTGCCTTTGATCCTTTGCAGAGTGACAGCACTTTCCTAGCCTTGATATACCAAAAATTAGTGGGCAATGAACAGAATCCCTCTGTCTTGCAAATAGGCTTTCTGCAGCAAGGATAAGTGACTCCACAAAGTGGCAAGCTAAGAGCTGGATAACATTGCTAACGAAATTTCAACAAGCAAGGAGGAACAGGATACAATCTGCTTCAGGGCCAAAGCTCCAAAAATAGCTAGTCTGATTCCTCCTTAGCCAAGCTAAGGGCTGAAGCCAACTTCAGCCACACAAACCTTGAAGAATGCATGAAGATCTTTGAGGTGCTAAGGATCTGTACTGGAAGTAAAGGTACACGGAAAAAAAGACCTGTGGTATCAGACTGTATGCAAGGGTACCCTAGAAATAGCACCTTAAACTATAATATTTGAAATAGACTGGTAAAATATTTATTTTAAAGTGATTCTGCAGCCCTGGACCACTAGAGGTACTTCACAATGATGAACTTCTCTGCTCATAGAGGAAGCTTACAAGTGAGTGAGTGTACATGCAAAATAATTTAGACCAGGAAAAACTATTTATTGAGGGCTACTCCGAGGCTGTATGTCTGCCATGCTTGGGAGTAGACATTGATGATCTTTTTTTCCAACTCATTAATATGTTAAGACTTTAGAAACACAAACTGTTGAAAACATTCACATCTGCTTTCCATTAACATTTACAAAAAAACCCCCAACAAAACCCAAGAAGTCCCAGGAGCTTAAGTTCAACTCTCATATAAGTAGGCAGAAAAATTGTTTACGGGATTCCATAAAATTATGATGTTGGTGATCCACAGAAACATTCAAGATCCATACATCCATTCAGTTTGCCTAGTCAAGTCTAGAAGAATCTACAGTATTTAGCCAAAAAGGCAAATGATCTCATGGGCTTAAATAATACTGGTGTGAAAGAGGGAAGTTCCCGCATGGAGAGAACCGATTATAAAAAATAAACAAAAAAAAAATTAAAAAAAACATACTGCCTTATAAGTAGGCCTAGACTAGGAGTGCTTGATCATTTACTAGAGGGGACAGAGTTTTGGTATTCTACTCAGTGAAGCTTGGCCACCACTTCAAAACTTACGGTTCTCCCACTTGACTTTGGCATAGAAACCTCTGCTGTCTTCACTAGGATATAACATGGAAAAGCATCAGAACAGTTTGCCACAGGAGGCTGCGCAGTTTTCATTCTTGGGGGTTTTCAAAACCAGGCTGGATAAAGCCCTGAGCAGCCTCCTCTGACCTTGGAGTTGACTCTGCTTTGAGCTCAAGGTTGAACTAGAAACCTTCTGAGGTCCCATCCAACCTGAATTATCCTATGATCTAATATAATATGTATCTACAAAAGCAAAACCTAAGAACCATATGGGAAGACAAGACAGGTGGTTCTCAAATTCTGGTTACGCAAGACCTCAGTTGGGTCTATCTCTGAGTACTCAGTCCACGTACAGCAACCAGAAATCAAAGAGCTGATTTCAGGTTTAATTAGTACATGCGGTTTGATATGCCAAGACATAGGGTTCTCTACATGCTGAGGAGACTCTGAACCTACAGCCACGTGCCTACACTGTCCCTGGAATAAACAGCTAACACATACACGTGACCTGAAGGAAAAATAAATAAATAAGCTAGATTAAAGACAAATTCATTGATATCTATCATTTATGAAGGCTAAATATATCAGAGAGGATTATCAGATTGTGTATGATATTAAAAGACTACATGCAGCATAAAAGTAGACACTAAGAATTAGAGGATCCTTTAGTAAGCAGACCGGTAGGGCAAGTACAAGTTACCTTTGGTTTAAAATGCGTATTTAAGCTCATCATCCAGCATTTTCTGCACATGCTCTCCAGAGTCTAAGGAGTTTTCGCTAACTTAGAGCTTCCTGGATAAGCTCCAATCTAAATTGCAAAAGCTGTTATGAAATTCCTTAACTTCCAAAACAAAGAAAGCCAGAATACTGTAAAGATATTCACATCGACTTCCCACCTTTTTACAGCTAAGTGACAGACAGAGAGCTCAGATAAAATGGTCTGTACAGAGCAGAGTTAACATCCTCCTCCCATACTCAAGGAAGGCCAGAGAAAAGCTAAAGTGCATGCAGAGCAACAACAGTTTCTTTCTGGTTTGAGATGTGTTTTTCATAAGGGATAAGACCTTTTGCTTATGCAACAATGTTTAATGGATAATTCTTTCCTAAATAACGAAAAGGAACAATCCAAGCACAAACTACTACTTGGAGAACCCAAAAATCAAACCAGAGCTGAGAGGACACTAAAAGTAGAGCCTTACTGACAAGGAGCAATTCTACTTCACCGAGTACAAAAAAATATTTACGTTTTAGGAAATATATCTCTGGATATGCCTGGATAACAGCATGAACAGACAATACTAAGATCACGCTAATTATGGAGTGACAAACAGCAACTAGTAGAAGGGGACTATAATCCACAGGCTGTCCAGGGAAACTGAATTGCATGAGGTTACCACAAATCCAAGTGGAACAACTTAGAAACCTACAAACTAATAAGGCCTATTTCAAGAAGGAAGGCTGTAAGATAG